TACAGGTAACTGGTGGTACTAAAAATTGCAGCAATCGAGATGTTGATAATTGTTATTAGCTTTAATGTTCAATACCATCTGTTGTCAAAAAGGGGAAAATTTTCAATTATTAATTTTTCAGTTTCTGAACGCTATTTTTCGATTTTTTAAAACACCGTTTTAAGCCTAGCACAACAGAAATAATTTTAGATACATTTTCGGCAGATTTTTCAGCATATTTATTACCCTATGATGATACAATTCGACTTTACCATCTGGGATGGTTGGATTGTTTGTAATTCCTAAACTCACCGCTTTATATCGTAGAGGACATAACAAAAGCTCTGATTTTTTACACGATCGGTATTTCAGAACGTTGGACACAAAAATACATTAGGTGCATGAGTCTATCCTGTACTTCATCTGTAATATAGTTATTAACAATTATTCTCGTTAAAATTGTCTACAACAATAAAAGAACCTTTCAAGAAAATTTATATACGAAGAATTGTAGGTGTGCATATTTTACAATACAAATCTTAAAGAATACATATCAACGAAAATAAGTATTAATTTACTATTTTTCATTGTTTAATTTGATTGACTCTAATAACAGCCGCCATTTTAAACCGTTGGAATATACCTATCCTCCGTCACCAATTTTCTGTCCTTGTCTAATAGCTCCTTCATTGTTGTGTATTCCTTGTAACTTCACGCACAGCAGTAGGATTCCATGTGCTGAATAGGTATACATTTTCTGTCCTTGTCGCACATTCCTTCATTTTTAACCTCCTCTATTAATGTGTTCCTGTTAAGTTCGAGAAAAAGTTAAGTTCGAGTTCAGCTCGATGGAGAATTATAATGAAAATTGAAAAGGGTTTGAATGACTCGGATCATGCCTGACGCAGAGGTGCAAGTATTCAAGTGATGTTTATGACATATTGTGTTCTTTGTTGCCCTCTTTCCTTTTCTAGAGTCTTCCCCGTAGAAAAGTCAGATAGTTTTTGACAAATATGCTTGAAGACGATCAGTTTGCTTTCGGACATTTTTTTTTATTTTAGTATAAAAATGTTAATTGCACGAAAAGTTTTCAATATATTGAAAATGTTTTGAGAACTTCTTTAGATTACATAACAGAGAGTATTTTGTGAAAATTTTAAGTGAATTTGATGAAAATTGTAGAAATTATGGACAACATCGACTTTAAAAATGTCTTTCTAAGAAAAATGCATTTAAACTTTCGATTATGCTCTAATGGTACAAAGCCATCGAAATTTTTCATTATATCTTACAAAATATGAACTATCGATTTAAGCAAAAAAAATTTGACCCCTCCTCCCGGCCCAAGAGATGGTACTGTGATTTTCGGAGTTAAAAAATCGATATCTTTTTTTTGCGTTTTCACTCCTTATAACCTGAAAAATATGGATGTAAAACGTTTTATCGAAATTGGATAAATTGTCTAAATAGTGGGTAACCAATAATTCGTATATTCTATCCTTTCATTGTGTATATACTTTGCTTAAGTTGCTCTCGATTGAGTTAAGTATAGAGTGCGTAGAATATCCCAAAAAAGATATTTTCGTGTCATTTATTTTTCAATTGTATTTTTACAATTAATTCGTCAATTCGTTTGCATTTCATAAATGTAATATTTTACGAATTTTCATTAGAATTATTTGCAGTATTAATTTTTTAAGGAATATAACCTATAAATATGAAAATAAAGTCCCAGTTGAAAACTATGTACGTATTGTTTAAAAATTACTATAAAATACTAAAAAGATAATATTTCTAGGGAATATCATGTAGAAAATGTAGAATTTTTTAAAATATTGGAAATGAAGTGTTAATAACAGAATTGAATGTATTTCTATCATTAATAAAGCTTTTGAAATTATTCTTACAATTACTAATAATTAAACACCATTTTAGAATTAATAAATTTTGTATGCTTTTTATTTATATCCTCCTTTCGTATGCATATCGCAGAAAACTTTGTAAAATCATTAATTTGTGTATTCGTGATAAATCATTTGATAAAATCACTTATCATACATCGGTAACAAATGATGTAAACCTTTCTCTTTCAATATAATAGATAACTCGCCAATAACATTAAATATTTCCATTTAACGAATTAATAAAGTCAAACACATTTTGGAATAACAGCACACTTTCACCGTTTCTAACAAATTTTCAATAAACAGTAAAAACAGTTTCACATTATATTTACACATATTTTTTTAACTAGTGGTGTAAAACAGTTTTAATTGTTATGTATCACTTAGAATATAAATAAAACCAATACAGTACAGTGTCTTATCTACATCTATAAAAAATTGGAGGTTAGAATTAGCACTTATACAAAACGAATATAACACTGAGAGAAAAACACAAATGTATTATGTTTGCAGAATGAATCAACGTAAAGTAGCGAAATGAATGACGCTTTTAACATAAAAGACCGCGACATATCTCGAAAGAAACGTCATCAAGCAATCTTCTCTGGCATAATCGATGCATTCGGCTTAGTAACACGATAATTCTTTGAAGATGTCTTTCAGTATACCCATCTAGACACGACTGAACCTGCACCGACTTGTTCAACGAGAAGATTTCTGAATGATTCAACCTGACGCATCGGAAACTCATTTAAAATTCCTCTGAATACTGTTCCAAACAAAAAAAAACCCTGAAATTTCCATGAATTAACGCATAATTTATTCAAAATTAATTAATCCTGCCAGAATAACAAAAATGAAAACTTTTCAATTTTTAAAATATGACCTTTTTAAATTTACATAAACGTAGATAATAAAAAAGTTTTAGAGTAGCCATTATTGATTTCGTAATCGATTAATCGAACGAGAATTTGATCAATCACATTTGTAATTACCTTATTATTTACTTAAAATTATTTCAAACATATTCACAAAATTGAATATTGTTATAAATACATATCGAGTACTCTGAGAATGCCATAACAAACCGTATAACAAAATCTATATCACTTTTTCGCAGTACTATATCTAACCATTGTAAAAGGTGCATATAAGTACTAAAAGTTAAATTTAATAATTGTAATAAGCAATGTTTAAGAATTGAAGACAAATTTTAATACATTTTATTAAATTAAATATGTTTTCTACAGTCAGTTCTTAGAAACACAATAACAGTATTTTGTTACACGTTTATTTTTATAACCCCTTTTAATGCCCGCATCTTTCATTAATTCTACTAATTGTCGGTAGATGGTAGCGCGACTACCATTTCAACTCATCCAAACGACATTTACTTTTTAAATTCTTATTTTTACCAATTTCCCTGTCCAATCAGTAATCGAGATTCAACAACAACGTTGCTTCAACGATTCCTCCTTTAGGACCTTCAACAATTAAATAAATCATGTAACATTAAGGATATATTACAAATAAATAGCTCGACGACTGATTGGCGTATTTCTGCATATGTAACTGTTCCCAAGCAGAAAGGGACAGCCATCTTTTTGAGGAGATGATGCAATCGATGACACATATCGACCGTATCGCTAATCGTCGTTTAGGTCCATAAAACTTCTTTACCGTCGATTCGAGCGATAAAACAGATTAGAAGACGAAAATCGTCGACGGAATCGTTTCTACTTTCGCGATAAATCGAAAATGGTGCCCATCGAACTATAGTCTATCGGATGTTAAGCGAAAGCCGCCAGCTGGGAGTGCTATTTTGAACAAGGCGCGGCGTTGCCGGATCTTCGAGCAAGCAAGTTCAAACACGTGCCCCGTGTTTTGCTCTTGGAAAGAGATAACTGCGTTGCCTGACGAAACAGAATGTTTGCCTTCCATTTGATTCACCGCGTTACTTCCTCGAGCGAACGCGGAACTAAAATTGCAAAATTTCGTACAATATTAACAATATCTTCAATATACCCGTCTGACATATTACTTCGAACATTAAAATCATGTGAATTATTCGAACGAAGAGGGAAACTTAAATCCGGGAACGACCGAAATATTACACGCTCTAATAAGTATCTCATACATCCTCTAACCTAACTCTGAATTATCCTTCCTTTCGAAAGACTACCAATAAAAAGACTTCATATAATTATGCACGATTTTTCCTGTTCAAGTTTCCTGCGCAAGATACCATTTCCAAAAGAATTTCGCGAAGCAAGCTCAAACCTGCAGCACGACAAGAAAGTTCTCTTCAACAGTGAGGACGCGGCAACGTGGCAACTGCGTGAGCCGAGATGCGCGGTATGAATAGCACCGACGTTGATGGGCCGGCCCTGTATCAGGGGCCGGCGGAGCAAAGGACGGGGTAAAAGTTTCCACGGGAGTGGGGATAGGCGGGAAACGCGAGGACGCGAGAGGGGACGCGATACGCTCCGCGTGTGTGGTCGTCTGTGAGCGTAATATAACCGAGGTAATGTTACCGGGCTGCTGTTTACGGAGAGTTTTTGGAAATTTCAGGAGTACATCCAGTTTCCCGGTTAAATTCGAACCGCGGCAAATCGAATCGTCCAATCGCGATAATCGAGCCGCCGCGACGTTACCCATACGTTGCTCGGACATATGCTTCATGAGAATCGAGCTAACGGGACGCCGCACGAGCCTAATATTCCGACGTGCTCGATTTCTGCGCGCGAATCGATTTAAATTCCACACTTCATGGTAAATATGTTGTTTGAAAAACTTCAAACATCCTAAAGCTATTATGGAGTAAGATATTAGTTGAAAAAATTTTCATGCAAATACTTTATGATTTTCGTTCTATGGTAAGCTTACGATGGAGTATTTTAAAGTTTGAAAGGGGAAAAATCGGGGAAAAGCGTAGCACACTCGAAAGTCTTCCGTTTGAAGATTCCCGAGAAACGTCGAACGTGGTGCGGCGCACCAGTGACGGTGAAATTGTAGAGGGGACAGCCCCCTCAAGTCCCCACCACTCTGCTTGTCTCTGCGCGCAACGTCATTGTGCCGTGTGTGGGGCCATGATCGTTGAAGTGTGTGTGCGTCCCTCGAGCCACGGGCGCAGACCTGCCCAGTAAATACGAGGCTTCCGTTCCCCTGTGTACGTTTTGTCGAAAGAGTGCGCAGTAAAAGGAAGGAACAACAGTCTTGTTTCGTACGGCGTTCCGTGTCACCGGCGTGTCCATCATGCCGTTGAGTATTAAGGTTAACCTAAGGGTGACCGGACACTGTAATCAGGGCGGTCGAAAGTACATGGAGGACATGTTCAGCGTGGCCTTTCAATCGACATCGGATGACAAGGATTTGGAATATGCATTCTTCGGGATATTCGACGGTCACGGAGGCGGTGAAGCGGCCACCTTCGCCAAGGAACACTTGATGAACGTAATTGTAAAGCAGAAGAACTTTTGGAGTGATCGTGACGAGGATGTGTTGCGAGCCATCAGAGACGGATACGTGAACACACACTATGCGATGTGGCGGGAGCTTGGTAAGAATCACGTTCACGCCTGCTTTCCCGCTATTTTCATCGTTCTAATCGTTTCTCGTGTTGTTTAAATGCTTTTCCTTGGCGTTCAAGCAAGAAATCGGTGTATCGAGCGTTTTTCCGAGAATTTCTCTCATTGTCCCGCGTATTTCCCCCACCACCTGTGCCCGATTAGGTTAGAATTTAGGTTATGTAATGCGTGCTAACCTCAGAATGTTTGAACTCTGGAAAAAAATAGTTGAGAGAAAATATTCGATGCAGTAGTTGTTTCTGTGATTAATTTGTCGTTTGTGAAGCGAAGAATCGGGAAAGTGTATCGCTGCGCGGTTTCCTAGTGGATGTGAATGTTGAGGATGTACTTTTGTAACAGAGAAGTGGCCAAGAACCGCATCTGGACTACCATCTACGGCGGGGACCACGGCTAGCATAGCCTTCATTCGCAAAGGCAAGATTTACATTGGCCATGTAGGAGATTCTGGGATTATATTGGGTTATCAAGTAGATGGTGATCCACAGTGGCGAGCTAAAGCATTAACCAAGGACCATAAACCAGAAAGTGGACCTGAAATGATAAGGATACGTGAGTCTGGTGGTAAAGTTATTAGCAAGTCTGGAGTTCCAAGAGTTGTTTGGAACAGACCTCGTATAGGACATAAAGGACCGGTTCGAAGATCAACTCACATAGACGAAATTCCTTTTCTTGCTGTTGCTAGATCTTTAGGTACATTTTCTTGGTCATATTACAAAGAAATTTAAAAATGTCTAGGAATTATTAAATAATTAAAATTAATATATTTTGTAGGTGATCTTTGGAGTTATAATTCTGAATTAGATACATTTGTTGTATCTCCAGAACCAGATGTTAAAGTAGTTGCAATTGATGTTGAATCACATCGTTGCCTTATTTTTGGAACAGATGGTTTATGGAACATGTTAACACCACAAGCTGCAGTGGCTATTGTTCAAGCTGCAGATAGACATAATGAAAAACATTTAATTGCTTCTCAACAAACATGTAATGGGGTAGGTTTTAAAAAAGTTTTATTTTATAGATTATGAAATATATAAAAACAGGTATCTAATTATTAATGCAAACAGCAAGCTGATAATGTTCAACTCTGGATAAACCCCTCAAAAAGCCTAGTGGATAGAGCATTAGAAAGGTGGTCATCAAAGAGGCTACGTGCTGATAATACAAGTGTGGTAACATTAATGCTGGACCCACCAGGTCCATCTCGCAGCGAGGTATGTGATAACTTCATGTTTTTTATTATATATTTTTTTTTTAAATTGTTAGAAAAAATAATGCAAGATACTTTTGCTGAACAAATTTGTCTTTTCTTTTGAAAGGTTTTATTGAGTCAAAAGGAATGCGTTTTAACACACCATACTATCCACACACCAGCACCTACAATTGCTTCTGAAAATTCAGAAAAACCTAACTGTAGTCCAGTCACTCCAAGCATACCAAGACCTTCTCCAATAATAAACCATAACGTTGATCTTGCTAGACCTGATTTTTTAAACGAAATTGAAGAGAATAAAACAGAATCAAAAACAGAGAATGTACCGGTTATAGAAAAAATTGACGAAAATGTCGATATAAATGATAAATCAAAAGATGAAACGCACATAAGTATCGTGGAGACTTCTATAGAAGAAAATGTTCAAGTCACAGAAACATCTACTGGAACAGTAGAAAAAGCTGTAGAAGTAGATAGTTACGAATCGGAACCAATTCCAGTGGAAGAGAATAAAAATCTCGAAGACCAGTCGACTTATCAATCAGCGGAAGTCGAAAATAAAAATGATCCTAACATTTCAAATGTGATACACCAAAGTGCATTTTCTAGTGAATGTGATGAATCGTCCACGACTGTTAACGTGGACAACAATGAAAATACCTCGGAGGATATTATCTGTAACGAGAACAAAGCAAAAAGTAACGTATTAAACGGATCACGTCACAAGAAGCAGCCGCATGCATTGTTCCCTACTTTGAGAACGGAGGTGAGAAGCTGTAGGAGGCACAGCCTGAATACACATTCGCGTAACACCCTGGTGAATTCAGGTTCATTAGAAGCGAAGACATACGTAAATTCTAGACTTAAGCCGCGTAGTACAAAAGTGTCTGTGAAGGGTAGTACGGTAGAGGAGGGTGTGAGAAACTCGACGAGTAAAACGAGCGGTAGTGCTATTGGTACTAAACGAAGACATAGTACAATTTCACAGAGTGTAGTTAACGTGGAGGAATCATGCGTGTTACAAGAGCCCTGTATTAAGAGGAGAACGCGTTCCGAAGATCGACCTAACCCCGTTGACGAGAATGATCCAGCAAATCAGACCACAAAAGATGCCAGTAGTAGTTTGAGCTGGCCTGGCGCAGAGTCTAACATAACCCGTTCTACCACTGGTGCTACCACTGTACCTGTACAGGAAAGACTGTCTTCATTAAATACCTTCCAAAGAAACCTGGGAAAAAAAGCGACGCCGGTGAAGGCGATCAGAAGAAGTTCTGTCAAAGGTCTATTACAAAAATTGTGGGCTGCTAGACTTGGTGCAAGAGAGTGGGATCAGGGGAGAAGTAATCGATCAACAAATTGTAACGAGCGAAGGATAAATCAAACTGTGTCTATTATAGGTTCTCCGGATAGCACAACTATTCCGCAACGTTGGCTCAGGTTAGTTGTTCCCTTTTCTTTTATTATTTTTTTTTTTCTCTTTTCTACGTGAAATGTTTGAGCAATGTCTCACGGGATATTTACGTTTCTTCTTCCAGGTCGGATACCATCGCGGCGACACCTGTAAAAACACTACGTTCACGTAATGTAGACATAACTGGTCACACGATATCTGCACAATTAGTACATCAGTACGGAATAGTAAAGCAAAGTCGACTATCTTTGCCGAGTAAATTAAAGCAGTCTAGTAATAATGGATTTCTGCAGTCGAGTAGAGTAAGATCTTCCTCCTTGTCGTCCAGTATGAAGCAAAATGGCGGTAATACTGGCAACGGAGCTTGCTCTACCATTAGTCCCACGAATACACGATGTAACTCTAGTTCTGGAATGGCTAAAAGGGTTAAGTCACCCTATAACCCGAGCGCTAGGTCATTAAGCACGCGATCTCTCATTAAACTCCTTGGGAAATGAGGTAGGGTAATACGATAATTAATTAATATTACTTGTTCACAGGGTATTATTTTCTTACCCTCACCTTGTTTTTTAATTCACTCTCCGCATCGCTTTGTTTCTATAAAAGATAATTGCTGGTTGAAAAAAAAGAAAGCTATATCTTCATTTGTAATATTGCATTTTGTGCTGTAGGCAAGATTTTGTTTCTGAATTTTCTAGGCGTGTCTTGATGGAATTCGGTTTGCATTTTATGGACCAATCGATTTGTGTAAAAAGAAAAAAAAATGAAAGAGATAATCATCGATTTCCGTTGTTTCCTATTTTTGTACACTTCTGACCTCATCTGGAACTGTTTTATTAGTAAATAATGGTATATATATATAGGAATTGTGTGTGAACGGGAGTAACTTTGAAAAACTTTAATAATACTGTTGCTCTGAAATACATGTAACGCGTACGCGTATTCTCCACTCGCGGCGTGTTGTGCCCAATGCTTCTATGGGGTATCGCATTTAAATATTTTTGCGCGATGTCTAAGTAGCGATGCCACTTCTCCGGTCGGGGCCACTGTCACTATCTTCTCTCTAGCCCTCACTGGTGTCGTCACCCTAGGCGATTGGAATCCTAGACCAGTCATGGGCGGAGCTACCACTTTAGGCCTGATCTGTGGTGGCTTTCCGGAGGCAATTCTTTATCTATGAAGTCGTCGAATGTAATACCCATCACTGTTGGATTCACTGCGCGCACTTCTACAGGCAGAATCTTGATCAGTCCTTCCACTAACCCCGCTACATATTTCTGAGCAAAGTTAATGCTCTAATTCTCTGGCTCAGTCAAGTCGTTGAGGTGTAGTTCATCCTGTTCTGGATCACGGAACACATGTAACAGGGTGTAAGTCGAGACTCTTAGGCGGGCGGTCTCTTCGGCCAAGTACTCGATCTTAGTCGGAGCGTGCCATTGTCCCGACCTCACGCAGTGTTCAAAACTACCTGATATTACTGATCCATCACATACTTTGGCCCAAGCTGCGCTCAAATACCAACTCTGTTTTAGTATGTCAAAGTGCCACTGTCGGTTGATTCTAAGTGGGTCGATTACAGTCATTATATTAAATGCTGAACCAAAGCTATTCTTAGCATACCACCCATACAATGGGTGCCTCTTCGAGTTATTGCCGTTTGCAGTGTTGTGCTGGTATACGGTTCACTTCTCTAGGTGGCAATAGCCACTCCGTGGTGGATACCCTCATGCTGGGAACGAACATGTCGATGTGTCCTTATGCTCTTGGTAGTGAGAAGGTAGGTAACCCATCACTAGCGTACAGGGCTGCTGCTATGGCGTATCCATCTCTGCACTCTTGTATCGTGTTGGTCGCACCAGCATAAGTGACTTGCTACATAGGCTTTTTCAGCACCAATATGATCACTAAGTTCCACGTTTCCGTACTGTGATACTACAACTACTATGGTGGAATGAGCCACAACTCATGTCTCCTCACTATCATTATTAACAGAATACACACATGATATTTGGCAAGTTCTCTGCAGCATGCGGCAATATTACTGTCCAGGCTCTACGCTCATTGCTTGGGATGCGAACTAATCCTGCTTGTTTCGATGCGATATATATGCCTCACCATTTCACATACCCTAGTTAATCTGTTGGTACCACTGACCCTCCTCATCTGATCTACCACAATTTGTTTCTGTTCTGGTGCCCACATCGATATCGCCTTTTCAGATATATTCAGCGCTTTTGTCAGTGCTTTGTCGTGGTATAAGCAATTGAGACGACTGTCGTTGAAGTCAATCTGCATGTTCACTCGATCTGCTGCTTCGTTTCAATCTACAGCTTGCTACTCCCTGAAACTGGCTGCTGTTTATATTACTGTATACATGATACTCCACCTTGAAATTGAACTCTACTTTCTTTGTCTCAACTATTGGGGTCCCTCGAAAATGGTGCTCGCCTAGCCGCACTAGGTCAGAATAGAATTTAGCTTGCCCTGCGCTACAGGATAGGATATGAAACTGCACAAACCCCCCAGATCTGTCTTGTTTGTATGCTCTTGTGTTATCAATGATATTCGCTACGGCACACTTCAGTGCATTACGTGATAATTCTTCTACCGCTATTTCTTCAGCCGTTCGACCGCGTTCATTTGTGGGATCTTACTGTCTAGTATATCTAACCTATCTTCATGCTTATTTGCTAAATTGGCTACTAAGTCTCGAGCCCTAATCTTTAATCCTACGTTTATAAACTTAGAATTATTACGATAAACTTGAAACCAAACTCAATTCAAATCGAATTAATCAGACAACTTAACAGATAATCACTCACTCAGCCACTCACGTTAATGAATATTTTCTGAAGGTTTATGATGACCAACAACACACAGTGAATGTTTAAGATTACCAACATCACGCAGATGATAGGTCTCCTCTTTCATCGAAACAATTCACCATGTCGTCACTTGCAATTTCGTTACGCTCCGTCTGTTTTTCCGTAATATCGTTCATCCAGCCTCCCATTAATTTGTTGATTAATTCGGCTTTCACTCCGGACGTCTTCAATCCCAACGCTTGCAATTTTTCGTTCAATGCAGCCATTGAGAAATCTCTCGCCGATGTATTCATCTAGCTTGTAAAACTCGCTACCCTAAACTCACGGTAAATTCGCGTACTCCGTTCACACATAACTCCTATATATATGTATATGGAAATACAGAGTAGGGCAACAGTTTTGTTATCGATAAACAGTGGTGTTTTAAAACTTCCACAGTACACTACGGGTGAAAAATCAATTATATCTTTCATACTTGCGCACTTTTCACACTTGAAGAATGTTTAGCAATAACATAGACACCGATTGTGTGGTACAATGTGTTCTTTCAGTTTTCATGTCTCCAGTTAGGAAAATAAAGAGCAATAGAAATAGAATTGCATGCATATTTTCTGACTACATCGTACAATTGACTAGTTTGCAATTTGTATACAGTATACATTGGAAACATCTCACTGTTGTCCATGTGTGTAATTTTTTCTAAACATAACAGTGTTTCTTTTTTCATGCCGTAATATAATGCATAGCTTTGATTTCTATAGAAAATCAGTTATCTTTACTTCTTGAATATGACTAAAATGTTCCTCTTTCTTACACAGTAGACAACCACTAGTTTGTCAACATTATCCTTATAACTGTATTCATTTCAAGCAGGTTTAGTCATCTGACAGCTCTATATTTTTACCACTTCACACTTCTCTTACGTATAAATCAGCTGTCCTGGCTGATGTAACTAACATTAAAAGAACTCCTTCCATTATTTTATGCTTTCTAATATTTGACTAGCTTATCAAAGTGTTAATTATAGAGGAGGAAGTTGAAGGAAGTACGTGAATATATGTATAAAATTTTGCGAGTATGTGAGGGGTAAAAGGGAAAGAAAGAATGATTGTAGACCGAGGAGAGGTTAGCGTGCGCGTGTGATTTGTAGAAAGTATGTTTTTCCGATGATTCCTCTAAACGTTACAGTCTTCTATGAGGAAATGACTTTAAGGGGATTGACAAGTCGTTAAAGAGAATGTAACTTGCTTACAATAAGATTAAGAGTTAAAATATCTAGTATGTAGGTACGTAATCACTGATCTGCTTTAGCTAAGTATATGCCGGCTATTCAAGATCCGCTCGAACGTCTGATTGATGTTAAGGAAAAAGAATTGTAATTAGTAAATTTTGATATTTAACTTTATACGAAGAAAGCACAAAGTCTAGGGGGTGGTCTTTCAATGTATATAAAAGACTTGCGAATAGTTCATTGTAATTCTATTTACCATTGTTGTAAGCATTTAATTATTCACTCACGACTGGGGCGAAATTTTGAATAACCGGCAACTTGGTACGAAGCGACATAAAATGACTGTCTATTATGCGATACAAAATTTAGATTATATTTAAAGCAATTTAAAGAAGAAAATGGTTATATGAATAAAGAAATGACAAATTGCACATTAATATGATCATTAGTACAGTGATCAAAATGCAGATGTTTCATATAAGTCAGTGCTTAAATTGTTAGGTAGAAACATATTTTATCAGAATTTTTTTTTTTTTTAGCTTAGGAATGTGATTTTTAATTTATGGTATTATTATAGGATAATTTAGAATCGGCAAATAGGCAGCACTGCACAGTGCATAATGTACTTCAAGATAATTTAGATGGAAAGTTTGATTGAATGTGTGGTATGGATAATTGAAAATGTTTTAAGTGGAACAGTAAATTCTACATACATATTTACAACCTTATTTTGAACTATAGATATTCGGTGTATATTACGATTTACATATTTTCTAAAGAAAAAGTTACTGCGAATTTTTATTAGAGAATATTTAATG